ATTAGTATTTAGCATTGTAATATGCTACTTTCCCGTTCCTGGCTTCGCGTGACAACGTTGCGCAGCTACTTATGAATAACTGAGTCAACTGGGTTACTTGGGTCAATGGAATTATTTGATGTAACCCAGTTGGTGACCCGGTAATGACATTTTAAACAGGTGAGTAACCCGGAACTTCAATTTTGAACTGGGTCCTATCTCTAAATAAAAGAAAAAAAAAATGCGTAAATTATGTTGTGTCACGTTTCATGTTTTATATAGGCAAGATCTGCGTTGCAGATCTTTCCTAAAATGGAAATTTCTGAAATCCCGATTTTGAATTTCGGAAATCTCAAAATTTCAATTTCCGATTTTCCGGTTTCCTGATTTTGTCACTTTGTGTCCATATGGTACACCGTATAACTTTGTTTTAATTATTACCTAGATGTCTATTGTCTTGAAGATCGGGTGGCTAAAAAGAATTCGTATGGATAAAATTGCCTCCCCGACATTTTTTATTAATGCTCCTTTTCGCTTGTTTTGCTTCTTCGGGTTTCCGCTCTTCAGGAATTGGCAAAGATAGATCGTGTGCTTTACAATCTCTAACGCTAACGTCAACAATTTTGAAAATTTGCTGTAAGAAAATATTTCGATACGATACTCGTTCTATGTGTATTAAAAAGAAAAATGTGTAACGTTCCTGGTAAAATTATATATAGACTATATATTTTGTGATATGACTTTGGTGAATTCTACACGCGTTCCAGTTAAAGACTATAACCTCTTATCAACTCTTTCAAATCTTGTCCTTGGAACAAGAGTCGACGTTATTGGAGTTGTAAATCCTTTTCACCTCCAAGAAGATGTAAGGGCACAGGTAATATACATACATAATTCTTTATTATATATTTAAAAAGATATTATTTTAACTTTTATTCCTTTTTAACAAATCAAGACTGGTTATGCTCGATTCAAATAATGGACCCTTCACTCACTGGTAAAGTAACGGTCATTATGTTTCGCGCCCAACACACTGAATTACCAGAAGCAAATATAGGCAGCATTTTTGTAGGAACTGTACTCAGGGTATATCATT